GCATATAGTAAAATTGATATTTCAATCATGTTTAATGTATTATGCACCAAAATTCATTCAAATAAAATTAAAATAAATTTGGCTGCACTTCATATAACTGGAATAGAGAGAGAGAATAATGTTGAGAATAAAAATCATGCATATAATTTCAATATTTGTATTTTTTGGAAATTGCAATGGGACGTTTAATGACTTGTGGGTTTAAAATATATTTGACTGAAATAATAATTTTTATACCCTACACCACCTAGTGGTAAAGAAATTATGTCTTTGTGCATTTGTTTGTAATAGTACGTTTATATATATGGGGGTTAACCCACTAGATTTGGATTTAAACTGTCATATCCATTACTTTTACTTCAAATAAATCCTCTCAAAGTAGGTTAACCCTACAAAAAGTTCTAACGTAAACATGGCATAACATGGAGAAGGAAGCAAGATAGACCCATAGTTACTTTTGAGGATCTTCGTAGAAACACTTTCTGAGTCGATTTATGCATGTCAGTCCGCCTGTCCGTCCGTGCATCTGTCCATGTATTTTTGTTAACAAAATGCATATAGTATTTATTATCCGATTGAGATGAAATTTTCAAAACAATATTTGTTTGACCTAAGGACGAACCTTATTGAAATTGCTGAGAATCGGTTTACATTTATATATAGCTCTCATATACAAGGTGAGATAAAAAACTGCAACGAAGTCAAACGCCACAATTTTTACATTTTTATACCCTACACCACAAGGTGGTCAGGGTATTATGTCTTTGTGCATTTGTTTGTAGCAGGCAAAAGGAAACGAGATAGACCCATAGTTCCTTTCGATGATCTGCATAGAATCACATTCTGAGTCGATTTATGCATGAGTCGATTTGCACAGATCATTTGTTTGGCCCAAGGACGAACCCTATTCAAATTGGAGATAATCGGTCAAAATTTAGATATAGCTCCCATATATATCTTCGTCTGATTTGCCTTTTATTGTGCACCAAACGTGTAATACCAGTCCGAATAAGTACGATCAGATTGGACCTGAAAATAAGTATGCCAAATTTGATCGAAATCGGTTCAGATATAGCTATATCTCCCATATATATTGTTCATTCGATTTGTTATTTTTGTCCTCCGCAGCCGTAATATGCACTCTGTGACAACAATATTTGGGGAAATATATCAAATACAGCTCAGAAATACATTTGCTAACTTTTATCGAGATCGGTTCAGATTTAGATATAGCTCCCATATATAACTTCGTCCGATTTACCTTTTATTGTGCACCAAACGTCTAATATTTGTCGAAATGGGATGGAATTTGGCACTTACGACCGAATTGAGTCTAGAAGCTAGTATATCAAATTTGGTGAAGATCGGTTCAGATATAGCTATAGCTTCCATATATATTGCTCATCCGATTTGTTATATTTGTTACTCACATATGCACTCCGTAACAACGATATTCAGGGAAATATATCAAATACAGCTCAGAAATATCTTTGCAAATTTTATCGAGATCGGTTCAGATTTGGATATAGCTCTCATATATATTTTTACCCGATTTAAAAGATACAAATGCTTCGGCAAATCTAGTTCTTTGAACTTTAAATTATAATTATAATCATAGCTTGTATGATTGAATTCTCCCATAAAAACTTTTAATTGTTATGTGGAGCTCTACTAAATTAGCGAAGTGGTGTAGGATATCATAAAGTCGGCCCCGCCCGACTTTAAGACTTTTTTTGCTGTTTTTTTTTTAATTTTACTGAATGAAAGCAAAAAATGTCGGAAATAGCATAAAATTTTAGAACAAGTTTAGATTTGTTCGAATGGCCACATTTGGCACGAATTATGGCCTTCAAACGGCCAATGAAACCGTTACACGCTGCCCGAATTTTGCTCTGCGGTATTTTGGCCATTCCCGGCGAAACGTTTGCTTGAGGTGATCGACACTTTGCTATTTTTCAGTGCCAACCTTGATTTCCAAAATATTCCAGACACAATAGTCCAACGGATTGGTATCCGGAGGTTTTGGTAGCCATAGTGCGCTGGAAATGAAGGGAGGAACCTCATTTTGTAATCGTTCTTGGGTGGCGCGTGCTGAGTGCTATGGTGCCTGGAGTCTTGTTGGAATGTTGGAAGGTTTGCGGCCAAAATGTTTGCGTGCCCATGGCACTTATATTCGGCATTTATTCTGATGCCACGGACGATTAATACGAGCGGAGAGCGACCATCGGCTGTTATGGCGGCCCACACCATCACCATGGAGGCGCTTAAGTTCTGGTGGCCTACCGAAGGTGCACATTTTCAGCTGACGTCTTTGGCAAGTAAACACGATCATTTTGTTTGTTTACAAACTGATGGACAACGAATATTTTCTCATCGGAGAAAACCAAATTCGGCAGTTCACCAATTTCGGCCAAGCGAAGCAACTTTTTAGCTCTTTTGAGTCTATTTTCTTTCTGCCGCGGTGTAAGTAAGCTCATTTCAATATTTGCCGACATACCTATTGATCTTTCTGTCCGTCTGTCTGTCTGTTGAAATCAGGATACAATTTGTATTGTGTCTAGGATGGTAGGTATTGAAAATGAGATATATCTGTCCACGTTTTGGTATAGTCTCCATATAACCATATAACGGTACCTCCCGATATTCGGTATTTTGATGATTTTTGCCACATTTTTTCGCGGATTTGTCTAAAAATTGGTATTTGTAGGTTCTAGCTCCCCATTGTATGTATAGGTCCACGTTTTTGTATAGCCCCATTTAACGGTACGTTCCGATAAGTTTAAGTACATTATCCAAACGATCTTACTGGCATATAAAGTTTAAAATGAAACACGCTTGAATTCGGGTACTTTTATATAAAAATGCTTCTCTTACCATAAGGTGGAGGGTATTAAAACTTCTGTACTTGTTTAATATAATCCTTATCGAAGTCATATCATGCACTATACATCAACGTTATTTGGTACTAAAGGTACAAAAGCCTCCGTTAAATTTGTTAATAATCGATTCAGAGTTTCGAGCTCGAATATTATCTTAGTTTTTTGGTGAGAGCAAAATTAGTTCGAAATAGAGCAGTTGTTATACCGCAATTTTATTTCTATGCATGAGTTTTTTATCAGATAACTTACCCACTCTTTACCCTCTTCCCCCTTCCACCTATCGCCCTCTTTTGCTGTACACAATATAAAATCCCGTTTGCTGTTACACGCACATACAAATCTGAAAACAAATTATTTTTATACCCTCCACCATACTATGGAGGGTATATTAACTTTGTCATTCCGTTTGTAACTCCTCGAAATACTCATGTCAGACCCAACAAAGTATATATATTCTTGATCAGCGTAAAATTCTAAGTCGATTTAGCGATGTCCGTCTATCTGTCTGTCTGTCTGTCCGTCTGTTGTAATCACGCTATCTTTCGAATGAATTGAGATAGATGGCTAAAATTTTGCACACATGTTTATTTTTCCAGTAGGCAGGTTAAGTTCGTAAATGGGCCATGTAGGTCCACGTTTTCATATAGCCCCCATATAACGGTAGCTCCCTATATTCGGTATTTTGATGATTTTAACGACATTATTCACGGGAATTGTTTCAAATTTGGTATTTGAAATTCGTTATAGGATCTACAGTCTGTGACAGAAAATTGTCTGTGCGGGTCAGGTCTACGTATAGGCCCCGTATATCAGTACCTCCCTATATTCGGTATTTTGATGATTTTAGCGACATTATTCACCGGAAATGTTTCAAAATTGGTATTTGAAATTCGTAATGAATACTACAGTCTAAGATAGAAAATTGTCTGTGCAAGTCCATGTCTTCGTATAGCCCCCATACAACGGTACCTCCCTATATTCGGTATTTTGATGATTTTAACGACATTATTCAGGGGAATGGTTTCAAATTTGGTATTTGAAGTTCGTTATAGGAACTACAGTCTGTGACAGAAAATTTTCTGTGCGGGTCCAGGTCTTCGTATAGGCCCCATATATCAGTACCTCCCTATATTCGGTATTTTCATGATTTTAGCGACATTATTCACCGGAATTGTTTGAAAATTGGTATTTGAAGTTCGTAATGAATACTACAGTCTAAGATAGAAAATTGTCTGTGCAAGTCCATTTCTTCGTATAGCCCCCATATAACGGTACCTCCTGATATTCGGTATTTTGGTGATTTTAACGACATTATTCACGGGAATTGTTTCAAATTTGGTACTTGAAGCTCAAAATGGATACTACACCCTAAGACAGAAAATTGTCTGTGCAGGTCTACGTCTTCGTATAGCCCCCCCCTATAACGGTACCTCCCTATATTCGGTATTTTGATGATTTTAGCGACATTATTCACCGGAATTGTTTGAAAATTGGTATTTGAAGTTCGTAATGAATACTACAGTCTAAGATAGAAAATTGTCTGCGCAAGTCCATGTCTTCGTATAGGCCCCATATATCAGTACCTCCCCATATTCGGTATTTTGACGATTTTAGGTACAATACCCACCGAAATTGTTTGAAATGTGGTATTTGAAGTTCGTAATGGATGCTACAGCCTGTGACAGAAAACTGTCTATGCTGGTCCAGGTCTTTGCACAGCTCCAATTTAACGGCACCTCCTTATATACGATATTTTGATGATTTTAGCTACATTATTTACCGTTTATTTCAAGTTTCCAATTTGAATATGGTAATGGCTTATGACAAACAATGCCTATGTATGTCCACGTCGTATAGACCCCAATATGACGGCTATATTCGGTATTTTTAAAATTTTAACAGAATTTTTTAAGGATTTTATTTTTTAAAAATGTCCAAATTCGTTGCAAATGGTGGAGGGTATTAAAAGTTCGGCCCGGCCGAACTTAGTTCTTTTTAACTTGTTTCTGCTTATTTTCATTCATAGAGCAAACTCTTGCTCTATTTTGAGCGATTCTGTTACCACTCTAATTTTTCAAACAGAAGAGACTCGTACGTACTCTCACGCAAACAAAAACAAAATTTAATATAACAAAAATTTATTTTCAAAATTTTAACAAAAATTAGATTTACATATATGGCAGTTCTTTTTTCCCATTTTATTTTCTTAAAATAATTTAAAAATTAATTCCTTTAAACATGACTTGTTTAAAAAACAACATGCATGAAATGTGTTTGTACTCTGTGTAAAAAGTGTATCCTGAGGAACCGTGTGGACATTTACAAATTATTCGCCACTATTTAGTTTTGGGACCATCATAATGACAGTCGGGGCAAAATTTGCTCAGGCCTATGACCTGATAAGACTTTTGTAGTTTACGACGTTTAACGGATTCGATTAGAAGACATCTTAACGTATGCAGCAGGCCCAGAGATGGTGGTGAATTATCAAAGTTTCCTAAAATAATAAATGCAATTAATTTTTGTTTTTAATTTCGCTTTTATATTTAAATATCCCTTACCTATAAATCCTATGACTAATGTATGAGGTTTATCAACATCCTGCAAGCCACTTTCATGATTCCATCCACGAACATCAAACGCCACACCCTCGTTGCCAATTAGGAAATTATATGGCAACTCTTCGCGGACCCTTTGGGAGTGTTCTTCCTGAAAATAGAGAAAAAAAATATTTAAAATATGAGATTTAAATATTTTATTATATTTTAGACATTTATGGAGAATTCTTACCTGCAATTGTTGCAACAGCGGTATGCATTGATGTATATTATCACAGCGTTGGCTTCCGGTTTGTGTGATTACCACACTATCAACATCATTTGAACTTAATCTATGACCCATTGGCAATTGTTTCAAACTCCAGACATCATGATGTACCAAGTCCAAGGAAAATGTTATTAATGGAAAACGTGCTGGAAAAAATAAACTAATACTATTAATTTATGATTTTCAGGGCTTATTATATTTTAAAGATTTGTAAAGAATTTTAATGCACTTCTAAACAGAATATAACACCTATATATATATTGTTTTTTGCAAATCTAATAATGTTTTTTATCGGTAATTTCCCCTCAAAGGAAAAAATACATTTTCAAAACCTATGGCAACCACTTTTGCTAATGGAAAACAGCTGTTTTGTTGACAGCAAAAAAGTTTCTCACATACACAATGGGTGTGTCTGGTTACCTATCCTGCAGAAATAGTCAAGCAATTCCTACTGATTTTTATTCTCTTTTGCTGATTTTATTCTCTTTTGCAAGAAAACTCTGAACAGTAAACAGACGGAGACCCTGTAAAAACTTGCAAGCAATCAGCTGTTTTGTCAAGAAATAACAATGTTACAGCAACAGCAAAAAAAGAAAAGAAGCACGCAAAAAATAACAAATGAAAAAACATTAAGTTCGGCCGGGCCGAAATTTTTATACCCTCCAACTTTGGGTAAAGGAAACATTTTTATATAAAAGTATCTGAATTCAAGCGTTTTCCATTTTAAACTTCTTATACATGTAAAACCGTTTGGATAATGCAGTTAATAACCATAGAGTGCGTGAGGCCGTTATATGGGGCCATAACAAAATGGGTGCCTATATAGATAAATTGATATTACAACAATTCTTATCTATAGCGGGTCTTAAATGCGAAATTTTGAAAATTTAAAAATGTCGTGGGTAAATGTTACTAGGATTATAAAAATTCCGAATATCGGTGGGTACCGTTATATGTGCGCTATAGGAAAACATAGACCTAGATATTCAATCTTTTCTCACTTGAGCAAGAACCTATTATGACCTACAAATACCAATTTTTACACAAATCCGTATAAATGTGGAAAAAAGTCATCAAACTACCAAATATCGGGAGGTACCCTTATATGTTGGGCTATACAAAAACGTGGAACTATACATACAATATTCCACCACTGGAGCTAGAAACCATTATGACCTACAAATACCAATTTTTAGACATATCCGTAAAAAAATGTGATGAAAATCATCAAAATACCGAATATCGGGAAGAATTCTTATATCAGGTTTACACCAAAAAGTGGAGCTATGCATGCAATGTTTCGCCATCGAACTTAGAACCTATTAAGGCCAACAAGAAGTTTTAGACAAATCCATAAAAAATGTGTCATAAATCATGAAAATACCGAATATCGGGAGGTACCCTTATATGGGGCTATACAAAAACGTGGAACTATACATAGAATCTTCCGCCACCAGAGCTAGAAGCCATTATGACCTACAAACACCAATTTTTAGACATATCCGTGACAAAATGTGACGAAAATCATCAAAATACCGAATATCGGGAGGAATCCTTATATGGAGGTTACACCAAAAAGTGGACCTATACATACAATGTTTCGCCACCGAACCTAGAACCTATTAAGGCCAACAAGAGCCAATTTCTAGACAAATCCATAAAAAAATGTTGCAAAAATCATCAAAATGCCGAACATCGGGAGGTGTCGTTATATATCTATACCAAAATGTGGACCAATATATCTAATTTTCAATGCCAACCATCCTAGACACAATAAAATGATTCAGCGTAATTTTTAAGCTCTTCGTCAAATTATGTGGGCTGTATAGTGATTTCAACAGACAGACAGACGGACATCATTAAATCGACTTAGAATTTTACGCGGATTATAAGTATATATACTTTATGGGGTCTACGACGAATATTTAGGGAAGCTAAAAACAGAGTGACAAAGTTAACATTCCCTACTTTTCAAATAGGAAAAAAGTAAAAGAAAACAAGTAAGCAAAGGCTACAGTCGAGCGGGGCCGACCGTTGAATACCCTACAACACTATAATAAATGATACAGTTTATATAGGCGAGATACTCGAAAGAATTCCACAAGATATTGTGACAAATTATAAAAGAAAACCATCAGGTTTCGTTCTCTAATTTTCGAATAATAGCAACTTAAACTAATTTGTTGATTTCCAATTTATTGGTAGATGTTGCACGTAAATGGTCTTCCTAGATCTGGAACCAATATTTCCCAAAGACCTATAATCTCTCAGAAGTGGCAAAAGATTAACATTTATTATTCGTTTTTGACTCAAACGCATCTATATGAGATACAGACATTTGACTACATTCTTCCACGAAATCAGCGTTAACAAAATAGTCAGAAGTGCGTCTTTCCTGTATTTGTGAATTCTCGAAAAAGTCACTGGAATGGACATGTTCGTATTTTGTCTACAAAAGTTGGCAAACTATTTCACACATTGAATATTTTTGGATGGCCATCCAAAACTATTTGGCTTTTGCAATGTCCGGTAACCTCCATTCAAATGCGCGTGAGGATCTGGCGATAGTTACGACCTGCAGACAATTTTGCAGTTTTTTTTTGTCCATTTCAACCCCTAAATATATGGCGATTATCTCCAAAAAGAGTAGGCTTCTATTCTGACCCTCATCTTATCCCCATGCAAAATTTCATAAGGATCGGGCCATAAATGCGATCTGTATATGATATCCTGATATCCTAACTACTTAGTTTTGTTAGCTGTAGAAATATTACCAAATGTTTAATTCAAAATGAAAATATGCCAAAAATATGACAAAATTGAAAAAATATGAGAAAATTTTACAAAATCAATATTTTCATCTTTAGAGAGATATGTGTATGCGTTTTTTAGACGTTTTTCCTTTCCTGCCAAGAGGCCATTCTGAATTAATGAGAACTGTCGAAATCAGTTCAGCCGTTCTCGACATATAAGAGATCTTTCAAGCATATCTTCTTTGATAGACATATATATCGCACATATTTTGCTATATATCCGATTTGATGGATGTTAACATCAATGTAAAGATCAGAAGTAACCTTGTCATGGCTTTGTGATTTCGCCGGGATTTAAAATATTCGCGGTTTAATGAAAAATTTTGAATTTTTTCAACACAAAATATATGTTCTATTTTACCCGCTAAATATTATCCGATGACCACCCAAATTGGTAGGCTTCTTCCCCGCCCTAAATTCTAGCTACATGCGAAATTGGGTCTATAATTGCGACCTGTATAGCTACTGCAAAATCCGACATTTTTTCAGTATTTGGTCCATTTCAACCCCTAAACATTTGGCGATCATCTCCAAAAGAAATAGGGTTCTATTCTGACCCTAACCCCACCTTCGTGCAAAATTTCGTAAGGATCGGGCCATAATTGCGACCTGTAGCGTGATTACAAATTAACATGGACAGACGGACAGTCGGACGGACGGACGGACGGACATACATAGCTAGATCAACTCAGCTCGGCGAGCTAGGAAGATCCATATATACTTTCCTATATGGGAAACCAATATTTCGAGGTGTTACATAAATTCTGGCCCAATCAAACTTATAATACCCCCAACACATAGTGTTGTAGGGTATAAAAATGTTCATCCGTGGAACACCTTTGCCCATGCCTATATTAATGGAAGATGCAGGAACTGTAGCTATTTATTATAGCTAAGCCAAGTTTTCTTTTATCACCTGTAATATTACAAATGTTTTGCACGATGCTGTTCGTTTACTTGTTGCAAGTTGATTTCTCTCCCTCTCTCTCTCTCTATCTCCCTCTTTAAAGTAACTTCTTTTCTCAGTAACTTTTTATTAGTAAATTTTACTGAGAAAGCGAACGAAAGGACCTAATATATAAACAAATAAAAGCTCTTATCGCTTGTCATCGAAAAAACCGGATCAGCAGATGTCGTCTATGTCGTTTCAGGGGTTTAAGTGAAAATATTGAAGTCACTCAATTCGAAAATCTTAAAAATGTCAACAATAAAAGGATATTTGACAGTTTTAAAACTGTTCCATAAGAGAAGCATAAAAAGACAAAACTAAGGCTGCAAATACATAAAAATCTTGAAGTCATGGCTAGGCATGTTAATGCCAAATTGGATTTGACATTAATATGCCTAGCCATGACTTCAAGCTTCTTATGTACTTACCCCTTAACTTTTCTTTGTCTATATATTCATCAGTCTATGCTTATGTTTACATAGGAGACCTTCTATTTGTACATCCTCTGCAGGTGCTCTGTGTATAGAAAACAACGTTCTGTTGGCCATCCAGACATAAAAGATCTTCTGTTTACAAAAGATTTTCGATAGGTCATCCCTGTATGGTCGATTCTCCATAGGTCTTCGATACATACATTTTTCTATTTTATATGTAGAAGACCTTCTAGAAATCTTCTGTCTGTGACCTTCTGTCTGTGTACCCATCTTTCATAGACAGAAAACCTTCTACTGATATTCCATACTTTTTACAGTTTTTCAAATGAACTTTCATCGAAGATAACTTTTTAGAACCTAACCATACATAGAAGATCTCCAATAGATATTCAACACACAACAAATTCTACACGTCTTCCACAGAAGGAAGACCCTCTGCCAACACAGAAAGAAAACCAGTAAAGAAAGTCCTAAAGTCGGGCGGGGCCGATTTTATGATACCCTACACCACTTTGCTAATTTAGTAGAGCTCCGCATAACAATTAAAAGTTTTTATGGGAGAATTCAATCATACACCCTATGATTATAATTATAATTTAAAATTCAAAGGACTAAATATGCCGAAGCATTTGTATCTTTTAAATTCGGACTTGTATTGCCCATTTGGTGCGAAATTAATTTGAAATCGGATAAATATATATATGGGAACTATATCCAAATCTGAACCGATCTCGATAAAATTTGGCAAAGATATTTCTGAGCTGTATTTGATATATTTCCCTGAATATCGTTGTTACGGAATGCATATTACGGCTGTGGGTAACAAATACAATAAATCGGATGAACAATATATATGGGAGCTATAACTATATGTGAACCGATCTTCACCAAATTTGGCATACTACCTTCTAGACTAAATTCGGTCGTATGTGCCAAATTCGATCCCATTTGGACAAATATTAGACGTTTGGTGCACAATAAATGGTAAATCGGACGAAGTTATATATGGGAGCTATATCCAAATCTAAACCGATCTCGATAAAATTTAGCAAAGGTATTTCTGAGCTGCATTTGATATATTTCCCCAAATATTGTTGTTACAGAGTGCATATTACGGCTGCGGAGAACAAAAATAACAAATCGGATGAACAATATATATGGGAGCTATAGCTATATCTGAACCGATTTCGATCAAATTTGGCATACTTATTTTCAGGCCTAATTTGGTTGTATGTGCAAAATTCCATACTATTCGGACTGATATTACACGTTTGGTGCACAATAAAATTCAAATCGGACGAAGATATATATGGGAGCTATATCTAAATTTTTACCGATTATCTCCAATTTCAATAGGGTTCGTCCTTGGGCCAAACAAATGTTGTTTGCAAAATTTCATCTCAATCCTGCATTTTGTTCACAAGAATACATGGACAGACGAACTGACATGCATAAATCAACTCAGAAAGTGATTCTATGCAGATCATCAAAAGGAACTATGGGTCTATCTCGTTTCCTTTTGCCTGTTACAAACAAATGCACAAAGACATAATACCCTGACCAGGAAAACCATGTATCCTCTCATAGATGGATGACCTTAAATTGATCTTACATAAATGGATGAACTTTTCCAGTTCATTAAAACCTCCAAAACCTTCTACAGAGTTATTGTACATATAACACCATCTATTGGTATTTAATTTGACCATCAAATGGTCTTCACTTTGACCTTCTATTGGGATTCCATATGCAATTTACTAAATGTATATTTTTTTTTTTTTCAAAAAATCTACTCTATCATACAATACTTTATTCAACAACACTACAATTACTCAAAACTTACATTCTATTATTAGCAAATAGATGGCAATACCAAGTCCAAAGATTAGCAATAGGGCAAACATTAACACTTTCAATTCCCAAAAATGGCTGCGAAAGGATTTGGTGCTATGGCCGGAAGTTTGGCTATCCTTACTTCCGTATGACCACAAGGACACATTTTCCGGTTGGCCATCATCCTTGTCCTTATTGCCATTTCCATCGTTGTTGTTGTTGTTGTTGTTGTTATTGAAGTTGATATTTTGGTTATTATTGCCATCACCATTACCCTGCAATGCCCATCTGCGATCCACCAACAGAGGCGTACTCTCATCAGCTTCGATCAATATAACGGTACTGTTGGCATCCAACGATCCATACGATTTGCCGCCATATTTGGAACCTTTGAAGATAGAACGTTTTGAAATCAAATTTAATAAATTCAATGCTAATAACAAATGCATCAGCTGCTGTAGAAGATCTCGGCACCAGTTGTAAAGGTGATACAAAGGGTAAGTGACATCATGGTCCGACTGCAATTTCCAAATGAAGAGCCCCACACCGGCATTGCTAAGCAAGATGGGCATTTTTTTTTTTTTGCCTTTAATTATGGTATTTGTAAGTGTTGTTGTTGTTGGCGATGTGTTGTAATGAAATGCGTTTCACAAAATAAATGTACGGGGGCAAAAAAAAAAAAAATAATAATAAAAATAACGAGTAGCTTTGTAGACATTTGATAAGGTCCAGAGATAAAAACAAACACCTAACGGAATATCTTGAGGTGTCTTATCTGTGGATCTCAATTTTCAGCAAGATAAATCATGTAGGGATGCTGTTGGAAGCAAAAAAATATATAAATTTTGCAATGGCCATGTACAACTACATATATTAGGGGGGTATGTAAACAGTGGAACTTCTGCAGAGCGAATATATGGATATGAAGGCACCATTAAAATGTTTTATTTGACATCTACATGCATATGAAAAAGAGTTGAGTGACCGATTAATTCGATGTCTGCTCAAACAAACAGCAGACGAAAATACTAAAGCTACATTGTTTGCATTTTGGCATCATTTCCACTACAGACATATATTGGCGAGATAAGTTATAGGTTTCGGAATTTCATATTCAAGAAGCATTTTAAAAAATAAACAAGCAAAAAAGCAGTAAGTTCGGCCGGGCCGAACTTTGAATACCCTCACCATTTGGAACGAATTAGAAAATATTCAAAAAAAAATAAAATCCATTGAAAATTCTGTTAAAATCTTTAAAATACCTAATATCGGAAGGTGCCGATATATGGGGGGATATACGTTATTGTGGACCTATATAGACAAATATATGTCTGGGGGTAAAGTACTCACAAGGAACTCCTTGTGTGGATTTTCAGATAATTCCATTGGGAAATGTGGTTAAATCATCAAAATCCCGAATATCGGAAGTACCGATATATGGGGGATATACGATATTGTGGACCTATATAGATAAATACCTTTCAGGGGTTAAAGTGCTCACAAAGAAATCCTTGTGTGGATTTTCAGAGAATACCATTGGAATATATAGCTAAAATCATCAAAATACAGAATAACGGGGGTACCGTTATATGCGGGCTATACGATATCGTGGACCTATATAGATAATTCTCTGCGGAGGCATAAAGTACCCACAAGGAACTCCTTGTGTGGATTTTCAGACAATTCCGTCGAAAAATGTGGGTAAAATCATCAAAATACCGAATATCGGGGGGTACCGTTATATGGGTGATATACGATATCGTGGACCTATATAGACAATTCTCTCTCAGGGGGTAAAGTACTCACAAGGAACTACTTGTGTAGATTTTAAAACAATTCCATTGAAAAATGTGGCTAACATCATCAAAATACCGAATATCGGGGGGTACAGTTATATGGGGGATATACGATATCGTGGACCTATATAGACAATTCTTTTTGAGGGGGTAAACTGACCACAAGGGACTCCTTTTGTGGAATTTCAGACAATTCCATTGAAAACTATGGCTAAAAACATCAAAATACCGAATATCGGGGGTACCGTTATATAAGGGCTATACGATATCGTGGACCTATATAGATAATTCTCCGTCGAGGTATAAAGTACCCACAAGGAACTCCTTGTGTGGATTTTCAGACAATTCCGTTGAAAAATGTGGCTAACATCATCAAAATGCCGAATACCGGGGGGTACCGTTATATAGGGGCTATACGATATCGTGGACCGATATAGCCCATCTTCGAACTTGACCTGCCTGCAGACAAAAGAGAGATCTGTGCAAAATTTTAGCTTCCTATCTTAATTCGTTTAGACTGTAGCGTGATTAAAACAGACGGACAAACGGACGGACATGGCTAAATCGTCTTAGAATTTTACGCTGATCAAGAATATATATACTTTGTTGGGTCTGACATGAGTATTTCGAGGAGTTACAAACGGAATGACAAAATTAATATACCCTCCATAGTATGGTGGAGGGTATAAAAAATATGCATACTTCCCTTGGTACCATAATAGGAGTTAGAAGAATTCTTCCTTCTAAATATAATAAATTTGGGGACCCAGTCCGCTGCGATAACATTATATCGATGTCATACCAAAACCTAGTATCGAAAAAACAATCGCCGAACGCGTTTTGTTTTTTTTTTGGAAAAGTTTTTACTCAAAAATGTCAAGACATTTTGAAACTAAACCCAAATCCACCTCCTTCTCTAAAAACTATAAACCAACTATGGCCTCCATATCAAATTTCAGTAGCACCAGCTTTATCCCAAGACCCAACCCCAAATGTATTACCATACTTTTTATACCCTCCACCATACTATGGAGGGTATATTAATTTTGTCATTCCGTTTGTAACTCTTCGAAATACTCATGTCAGACCCAACAAAGTATATATATTCTTGATCAGCGTAAAATTCTAAGACGATTTAGCCATGTCCGTCTGTCTGTCTGTGTGTCTGTCTGTCTGTCTGTCCGTCTGTCTGTCTGTTGTAATCACGCTATCTTTCGAACAAGGCTAAAAACAAGAAGGCTAAAATTTTGCACACATGTATATTTTACCAGTAGGCAGGTTAAGTTCGTAAATGGGCCATGTAGGTCCTAGTTATCATATAGCCCCCATATAACGGTACCTCCCGATATTCGGTATTTTGATGATTTTAGCGACATTATTTACCGGAATTGTTTCAAATTTGAGATTTGAAGTTCTTAAGGGATACTACAGCGTAAGACAGGAAATTTTCTGTGCAGGTCCACGTCTTCGTCTAGCCCCCATATAACGGTTCCCCCCGATATTCGGTATTTTGATGATTTTAGCGACATTGTTTACCGGAATCGTTTCAAATTTGGTTTTTGAAGTTCGTAATAGATACTACATCCTAAGTCAAAAAATGAGCCATGTAGGTCCACGTCTTCATATAGTCCCCATATAACGGTACCCCCCGATATTCGGTATTTTGATGATTTTAGCGACATTATTTAGCGGAATTGTTTCAAATTTCGCATGTGAATTTGGTATTTGATCGCATTTTCAAATTTGGTATTTGAAGTTCGTGAAAGATACTGCAGCATAAAACAGAAAATGGGTCATGTAGGTCCACGTCTTCATATAGCCCCCATATACCGTACCCCCCGATATTCGGCATTTTGATGATTTTAGCGACACTATTTACCGGGATTGTTTCAAATTTCGCATGTGAAGTTCGTAATGGATATTTCAGCCCATGCCAGAAAATTGTCTGTGCAGGTCCACGTCTACGTATAGCCCCCATATAACGGTACCCCCCATATTCGGAATTTTGATGATTTTAGCTACATTATAAACAGATTTTTCTTCAAGTTTCGCATTTAAATATTGTAATAACTTATGACAAAAGTTGCCTATGCAGGTTCACGTCGTCGTATAAGCATTCGGTATTTTTAAGATTTTAACAGAATTTTTAACGGATTTTATTATTATTTTTTTTTTCTTTTTTTTTGGAAATTGCCAAATTTTTACCAAATGGTGGAGGGTATTAAAAGTTTGGCCCGGCCGAACTTACAGCTTTTTACTTGTTATATACTACGCACGTCTATGTTCTCTCCACCCTAGACACTAAATAGTGCTCTCGCTTCCAAATTATATCTCTATACCAACATTTCGAAGGAATTCGCACTTTTCGTAAGTTCATAGCACGCATTTCAAAAACCACCATCTTCTCTCAACTATAGACATCAACAGTGACATACATATCAAATTTTAGGGTCTTACCTCTATCCAAATTTAGTACTATTTAGTTATATTCCTGCAGTTAAAGTACACATTTTCAAAACAACCTCCATATCTCAACCTCAGATAGTGACATTAATATTTAATTTCAGGATTTCAGCACTTTCATTTCTCTGATTACAAATTTTTTGTACCATTTAGTACAATTATAGTACACATTTTCAAAACCACCACCAAATTTCCACCACAGTCACCAACAGTGACAAATACAGGATGAGATAAAAAAAAATTGCAACCAATTTTAGACTGCTGTCATTTCTAAGTCACTCGTCCGACAGCGGTTAAAATTGTTCCAGTGACAGCTCATTATATTGTTTATAAGTGTACAAAAGGATTTTAGTGAGAATTTTCCAGAAGAAAAGTTATTCGTGATGGAATTCAAGCGGAAAACCACAAGTGGCTATCGTTAGTGCACTCCAGCATTTAAATGTGAATAAATCTTTTGTGTCTCGTTTCATCGCTCATTACCGTAATACTTGTAGCGTAGCCCGACGTCAAGGAAGTGGATGGAAGAAAACAGCAACATCAGCAGAAATGGTTCAAAAAGCAAAGAAGAGACTTCATCGAAACCCGCGTCGCAGTGGCCGAAAAATGGCTCGTGAGCCATGAAAATGAGCTTGAAAAAGGAGCTTTTTGAAATTCCAAAAAGTGCAAGAACTTACACCGCAACGGATAGGAAATAGACTCAAAGGAGGTAAAAAGTTGCTTCACTTGGCCGAAAGTGGTGAACTTCCGAATTTGGTTTTCTCCGTCTCCGATGAGAAAACATTCCTGGTCCAGCAGTTTGTAAACAAAGAAAATGATCGTGTTTATTTGCCAAAGAGGTTAGCTGAAAATGTGCACTTTCGGTTGGCCACCAGACTTCAAGCGCTGGCCATGGTGATGGTGTGGACCGCCATAACAGCCTATGTTCGCTCTCCGCTCGTATAAATCGACCGTGGCAGCAGAATAAATGCCGAATATTATCGCGAAAATATTCTGGAGGGTGTATTAAACACTTGGGACGCAAACACGCCACCCAAGAATGGCTTCATTTCCAGCGCACAATGGCCACCAAAATCTCCGGATACCAATTCGTTGGACTATTGTGTCTGGAGTATTTTGGAAAGCAAGGGTACCACTCAAAAATACCAAATTGTCGATCACCTCAAGCAAGCGTTTCGCCGGGAATGGACCAAAATACCGCAGAACAACATTCGGACAGCGTGTGTCGGTTTCATTGGCCGTTTGAGGGCCATAATTCATTCCAAAGGTGATAAATTCGAACAAATTTAAATTTATTCTAAAAGTGGATGCTATTTCCGACAGTTTTTGCTTTCATTCCATTACTAACTTCAAATACCAAATTTCAAACAATTCCGGAGAGTAATATCGCTAAAATCATAAAAATACCTAATATCGTGAGATACCTTTATATGGGGGCTATACGAAGAAGCGGACATGCACAGACAATTTTCTGTCATAGGCTGTAGTATCCATTACGAACTTCAAATACCAAATGTCAAAAAATTTCGAAGAATAATATCGCTAAAATCATAAAAATACCTAATATCGTGAGGTACCTTTATATGGTACCTCGCGAACCTGCATAGACAATTTTGTGTCATAGGCTGTAGTATCCATTACGAACTTCAAATACCAAATTTGACACAATTCCGGTGAATAATGTCGCTTAAATCACAAAAATACCTAATATCGTGAGGTACCTTTATATGGGGGCTATACGAAGAAGCGGACATGCACAGACAATTTTCTGTCATAGGCTGTAGTATCCATTACGAACTTCAAATACCAAATTTGAAACAATTCCGGTGAATTTCCGATTTTCTCCAAATTATACTGAGTTCGGTCAGATGTACCAAAATTCAGGTCATTAGGACTTATATAGGCCATTTGGTGCACAATTAACCCGAAATCGGTTAAATATATATGGGAGCTATATCTAAATCAGATCCGATTATCATCAATTTCAGTAGGGTTCGTCCTTGGGCCAAGCAAATATTGTTTGCAAAAATTCATCTTCATCGGATAGTAAATGCGACCTGCATTTTGTTCACAAGAATACATGGACGGACGGACGGACTGACATGCATTAATCGACACAGAAAATGATTCCATGCATATCCTCAAAAGTAACTATGGGTCTATCTCGCTTCCTTCTCCCTGTTGCAAACAAATGCACAAGGACATAATATCCTTACCACTATGAGGTGTAGGGTATAAATATGTTTATCTCAGCAAAACATGATCAGATCCACTGTTTGGTAATGTCAACTTATTTAAGATTTAACTGCATTTTTTAATCAATTTGCTTCCTTTCCACCAGGTGGAGTATGGAAGGATTCATACAGGCCACAAACTAAACGCACTTTTTTCCTGCTTTTTATTCTACTTTCCGCGAAACCCAACAAAGGATGCATTAACATTGCCGGGGAGATATGCGAGATCTTCAACTTGAATACCGAGTTGTTTATTCTTTATCCAATATCCCCATATGGGAAATAAAAACTTTTAATTGTCTTTATGGATTTTGTTTTGCTTACCTCGCGTGCTGTTACTGTTATCTCTGGGGTTCATTGCTTCTGTGGTATTATCTTTTTGGATGTAAATTACTTCTTCACTCTTATTTTAATTTTTTTTCTCCAAGTAATAATCACTTTCTTATTTCGGCACAAATTTCCTTGGACTTGGACTCTTCACTGTGCAATTTTCGTTTGTGGTATCCAGGAGGATGCACATTAATTCTCACATTCAATACAAACACTGACTTAATTGTTAATGCAGTCCATCCTTGGCAAAAGGTTGGTGATTTTCAATCACAAATGTGATGTGATTTGTTGGGTATCGCGCTGAACTGACATTTACCATTTTCTAAACACGAATACAAATGTGTGTTGTTGTTACAGGAAAGAGTAAAAATACAACAACTACAAGAAAGTTGGTAATTTGAAAAAAGAAATTCAATTGAAATTTTGCTGCCCCCCAAACAAACAAAATGCAAATTTCAATACCGATTCTTTTTTCGTTCTTTTCAAATCACAATCTTCACTGAACTGAATTCTCGCCATGAAATTGAGGTCTATTTAATGCATTTCTTCCTCATGCCCGGCCTGTCTGTCTGCCTGCCTGCCAGAGTTCTGCCGCTGCCAGTTTTATGAGAAGAGTCGTGTATTGACGACGACGAAGCTCACTTGTTGTTGTTGATAGAACGTTTATGATAAAGCGTGGGTTCGACTTTTGTTTTGTTTTGGGTGTTCCTTTTACAACAAAAACACAAAAATGCAATCAATACTGCTGACAGATCATTCTGTACCTCCTCTTGCCGTCCGTCCACCCAGCCGTCCATCGTTCTCCATTTCGCATACTCTTTCTGTTGCATTGTCGGCCATCGTTGCCCTTTCCCTCTCTAGCGGTAAGTGGCATATTTGAGAGATCAAATAGATCTGCATGTAGGTATGTATGAAAATAAACAAGTGCGCTTTATGTAAATATCATTTCCTTGTAAATAGGCCTTAGATACGAGGGTGGTTTAAAAACGTTTGGAAAATGGTGTTTCTAGAGCAGCTGTACTCTTCGGGAAGAATAATTTTATTTTCATTTCACTCATTTTGATACTAAAAATAAATTTTAAATTGAGTAATCTTTAATGGATTTTTTAACAGCATCTGTCAAGGTTATCGCCTTGACTGGCAAATATTAAAGCAATACCTCAATAAATGTCTGATGGAATACTAAATTACTACAAGGCGGAAGGTGATAAATTTGATTGTATTATATATGACAGGGATGGAAAAATGCTTAAATAGGGTATAGATATAAAATTTGATCGGGACAAATATTAAACTCATTGAAACGCCGGGTTAAGATTCCGTGATTCTTTAATCTATGATGAACATATGAAAAATCGCTATCTTTATAATTTTTAGCATATTTCAAAACATTACAGGAGAGATACCATTCAAGCCTCATGACTATAGAAAGTATATTTCATCCGCAAGTATCTTGGGCGTAATCTGTTCAGAACTGAAATTACTGATTATTACTACTTAAAGAGGAAAAATAGCCAATTTTAAAATGCTCATAACTCCGTAAATATTGACATTTCGGGGTTTTTGGCATCATTTTGATTGCAGATATTTAAAAGAGGAAAAATAGCCAATTTTAAAATGCTCATAACTCCTTAAATATTGACATTTCGGGTTTTTTTGGCATCATTTTGATTGTAGATACTTAAAGAGGAAAAATAGCCAATTTTAAAATGCTCGTAACTCCGTAAATATTGACATTTCGGGGTTTTTAGCGTCATTTTGATTGCAGATATTTAAAGAGGAAAAATAGCCAATTTTAAAATGCTCATAACTCCTTAAATATTGACATTTCGGGGTTTTTGGCATCATTTTGATTGCAGATACTTAAAGAGGAAAAATTGCCAGTTTTAAAATGCTCATAACTCCTTAAATATTGACATTTCGGGATTTTTAGCAAAATTTTGATTGCAGTTTCTTAAAGAAGAAAAATAGTCAATTTTAAAATGCTCATAACTCCTTAAATATTGACATTTCGGGGTTTTTAGCATCATTTTGATTGCAGATACTTAAAGAGGAAAAATAGCCAATTTTAAAATGCTCATAACTCCGTAAATATTGACATTTCGGGGTTTTTGGCATCATTTTGATTGCAGATATTTAAAGAGGAAAAATAGCCAATTTTAAAATGCTCATAACTCCTTAAATATTGACATTTCGGGTTTTTTGGCATCATTTTGATTGTAGATACTTAAAGAGGAAAAATAGTCAATTTTAAAATGCTCGTAACTCCGTAAATATTGACATTTCGGGGTTTTTAGCGTCATTTTGATTGCAGATATTTAAAGAGGAAAAATAGCCAATTTTAAAATGCTCATAACTCCTTAAATATTGACATTTCGGGGTTTTTGGCATCATTTTGATTGCAGATACTTAAAGAGGAAAAATTGCCAGTTTTAAAATGCTCATAACTCCTTAAATATTGACATTTCGGGATTTTTAGCAAAATTTTGATTGCAGTTTCTTAAAGAAGAAAAATAGTCAATTTTAAAATGCTCATAACTCCTTAAATATTGACATTTCGGGGTTTTTAGCGTCATTTTGATTGCAGATATTTAAAGAGGAAAAATAGCCAATTTTAAAATGCTCATAACTCCTTAAATATTGACATTTCGGGGTTTTTGGCATCATTTTGATTGCAGATACTTAAAGAGGAAAAATTGCCAGTTTTAAAATGCTCATAACTCCTTAAATATTGAAATTTCGGGGTTTTTAGCATAATTTTGATTGTAGTTTCTTAAAGAAGAAAAATAGCCAATTTTAAAATGCTCATAACTCCTTAAATATTGACATTTCGGGGTTTTTAGCATCATTTTGATTGCAGATATTTAAAGAGGAAAAATAGCCAATTTTAAAATGCTCGTAACTCCTTAAATATTGACATTTCGGGGTTTTTAGCATCATTTTGATTGTAGTTTCTTAAAGAAGAAAAATAGTCCAGGCGAAACGGATGTAACTGGAATCTTGAAATTTTGCACGAAGTTCAGTCTTGGTGGCGTAGGTGTGTGGTAGCGCTGAGTTTTTGGAAATTCATGCAAAAAGGGTACGAGAAGTACTTATAATTGAATACTTTTGGAATAAGAGTGTGTTTGAGCTTTGAGAGGAGGATGCTTTTTTTTTTTTTGAACTTTGAGAGGGATGGACAAATTTGATATTGTGGTCTCTGTTCGTATCTGGAATTGAGATATGAACTTGGTTTTGCAAATGTCTACTATTATTGCTATTACTGTTATTATTGTTCGAAAAGTACTAAGTGGTACTAAATAGGGTGGTATAGGATGAATGGATAGGGCTGGAATCCGCAAATTTGATATTTAGGTCTATGTTGATATCTGGAATTGAGAGATGTAGATGGTTTTGGAAATGTGTACCATAATTGTACGAAAAGTACTACATGGCACTTATTTGGGTATTAGGAGCTGGAATCCCGAAATTTGATATTGTGGTCACTGTGTGGTCTGGAATTGAGAGATGTAGGTGGTTTTGGAAATTATACCATAATTGTACGAAAAGTATTACATGGCACTTATTTGGGTATTGGGAGCTGGAATCCCGAAATTTGATATTGTGGTCACTGTTAGCATCTGATATTGAGAAATGGAGGTGGTTTTTCAAATATGTGCTATAAATGTATGAAAAGTACTATATATTATTAAATTTGGTGTTTGGTGAAGGGATAGGTCTGTAATCCGCAAATTTGATATTGAGGTATCTGTTGGTATTGAATTGAGTATTGAATTGGTTGGTATTGAGTTGTTGGAATTTTGATAAAGAGGAGGTTTGTGCAGCTTAGAGTTGAGATTGATATGTAATTCTGAAAGTTAGCATCGAGGTCACTGTTTGTGTATAAGGTGGAGAGAAGGCGGTGGTTTTAGACATAACTGTACGAAAAATATGGTAATAAAATTGGAATTTGATCTTAGGATATTGTTGGAACTCTGACATTTGATTGTAGGCTACTGTTGGTATATACTTTCGAGAGAAGTAAGTACATTTGGGAATGCGTACTATAATTGTTCGAAAAGTACCAAAATGTACATAATTTACCTTTGAGTGAATGGGTAGAACTTGAATCCAGAAATTTGATATTGATGTCACTCTTGGTTTCAATTTTTTTTATCAACTTCGTCATTGCGTTTGTAACTTCTCCAAATACTCATGTCAGACCTAATGTGTATTTTGTCAGACAGACAGGTTAATTTCGCAAATGTCGGTCCATATTTTCGTTTGTAACTTCTCCAAATACTCATGTCAGACCTAATGTGTATTTTGTCAGACAGACAGGTTAATTTCGCAAATGTCGGTCCATATTTTCGTATAGTCCCCATATAATTATGATTATAGACCGGAATCGTTTCAAACTTCGTATTGGAAGATGTTAATGGGTACTAAAAAAATGGGACAAAAAAAAGCTTTTGCAGGTCAAGGCCTTCGTATAGTCCGTATATAACGACACTCGATATTTTTATGGTATTAGAGACATTATAGACTGGAATTGTTTCAAATTTCGTATTTAAAGTTCGTAATGTGTACTACAGCTAATGACAAAAATTTGAGTATACAGGTCTACGCATTCGTAAATTTTATTAACAAAACGAAATTTTATTAACATTTTGCAAGTTCCTTCCAAATAGCGGAGGGTATTAAAAGTTCGGGTCGGCCCCATTTAGCTGCTTTTTTACTTGTTATTATTATTGAAATTATTATTTTATTTATTTTTTTTATTTTTATTATATTTATTATTCTCATTATATTATTATTATTATTATTATTATTATTATTATTATTATTAGTATTATTATTATTATTATTATTATTATTATTATAATTATTATTATTATTATTATTATTATTATTATTATTATATTATTATTATTATATTATTATTATTATTATAATTATTATTATTATTATTATTATTATTATTATTATTATTATTATTATTATTATTATTATTATTATTATTATTATTATATTATTATTATTATTTTTTTATTTAATTATTATTGACATTGAAATGGTTTTGTTCAGAAAAATTGGATGTGGAACCATTGTACAAGGGTTTAACTAATATGTTCATCGACAAACTTCAAAACGAATTTTTTTGAAGACTTTGATGCGACTTTAGTGCGATGTATGAAGATTTGTTTGGATATTTTGTCCAAGAACAATTGCAATTCAACAAATTGTACATTTTGAGTACTAAAATGAAAAAATAAGGGTGGAAATACATAAAGCGCATATTTGGCTGGCTTAAGTCATCGGCTGGCTTCTTCGTAGAGGAACAAAGGAGTTTTAGGTTGAATTATTTCGATTTTGGCCCTAGGCTCTTTTGTTCATTTCTGAAGAAGCCAGCCAGACTTGAGGAGAAAAGTTTCTCTCTCAAGTAAAAACATTGCAAATAGTTATCAAAAGATTGTTATAGTAAAAAATTTATTCAGTAAATGGTGTAAAAAAATAATAATTATTTCCTTAAATGTTTAAACATTTTCAAATAATTCTTACTGAGAACAATTTCCCAGTCGTAATTTCCAAAATCCCAGTAATTCAACTGTCAATCTTGCTCTCTTTCCT